GTCTTATTTGCAATTTCACTTCATTTTTCTTGTTTAATTCCAGTTCTCGGGCGGTCTTTGCTTAACTGTCAAATATTTCACCATTAGAGCAATAATTCTGTGCTGTAGGCCTGTTTCAATCTATGTTTTGGCTCCCGCTGTGCCTGATAATAAGAAACCCAAGTGGTGTCAAGTTCTTGACTCGAATCACCTCATCAGCTACGTTTAGGGGCATCTCTAGACCATCTTGAACGAGGAAGGAGGCGGTGATTTGGCTAGGTTTACCGAGTCATAATCTTCCTCACCTGCATCGTCAATATGACCATTCTTATAATTTGTATTTTCTATTACTTAATCCATTCTGCTTAATAAATGTGTTAATCTATCTCTTGAGTTTTTGTCTGGGGCTTTCATATTTTCAGGCAATCTGCTTTATACGATGACAGTCCTTCTTCCCGATAAGCGATGCCCTTGGCCTAGGCCATACCATGGACTTAGTAGGTCCATGTCCATACATATTGTTTACAAAATATGATGGTTTCGTTGACGACGGGTGTTTGGAGTCAAAGATCAATAATTTTAGAAACAAACATTAGACGTTTCAGAAAGAACATGGAATAAATTTGTGACCAAAATAATAACATTTAAAAGAAGAAACACTCCAACAACAACAACAACAACATTCCGTGTCGCCCGACCCCTAGTTACCCCACTTTTTCATCCTCCGTAGCCCCGTTGCTTTCTATCGTTGTTTCGTTACCCGTAAGACCAATGTGGAAACAAGAATGTTTGCGGATCATGTTTCGGGCAGTATCGTGTTACAGTTTGCTCTTCATGTTTTCATGTTTTCGTTCGCAATATCAGGAAATAGTTTGCAGGCACAAACCCTTGTCCGTTGAAGTGCGTAGAAGAGTGTCTGAACTCAGAGACTATGCTGACTTCACGGTCTACTGCACTCCATAGGCTATGTACTTTAGCTGCTCATGACATAGTCAGATGACTGATAGAGCTAGGCTCTGTTCAAGGCTTGAGGAGTTTCTGGTAAAGGGTTGAATTAGAGTATGTGCCTGCAGACTATCCATGGGATGGGGTAGGGTGTATCCGCAGGGGGTCTGCTGGTAAGAACACCGACCCGTCCCGGGCGGGAATAGCTTCATTATCACCGCTGAGGTTTGGAGGCGTAGCGTGGGTTTTCACGGGGGAGGGGCGGCATTCGTATTGCAAGTGGGATGAATGCGAGTGAGCTAAGAGAGCGAATAAGAGGGGAAGGTTTAGGAATAAACTTCATGCCTAATTTTCCCCCTTCTTAACCCCACCGTCTTCTCTCTCTATCTCTCTCTCTCTCTCTCCCTCTCTTCCTCGTTCTCAGCAGTCACTTTAGATGTCACTTTAACAAATTTCTCCGTACCAGTTATATATCCATCTTGAAGAATCAAGTACAGTTTTCGTTTCTTCACGTGTTTTGCCCATCTTAAACTCCTACATGACAGTTGTTTACTAGTTAAGAGTTGTTAGTTTCGTGGAAAATAGATTTATAGATCTTCTTCATGTGGATTTTTGGAAAGTTAGTGGCATATCTAGCAATGAAGGAGCATACCCTCTCCCCATGTGTTACGTATGTTTACCCCAAACCTCTTTCTTTCAATAATCTTCTCTTTGACTATAGCGGCCAAGTAGTTTAACAGGTGTGTGATCCAAACCTGGGGGTGTGAAAGATCCCAAGTTGAACTTAACTCCTAAAGTTGGACTTACATATTATGGAGAGCCATTTGTAGCCTTGAAATAAAATATATTCAAAAGCGAAAAGTCAAGTATTTTAGACTTTTTATACATTCCACATCAAGAACATGAAATCTCCTTGATCATAGAAAATATGAATGATTTGAATTAACATTTTATGAATTTTAAAACAACTTTTACAAAATATTATAATATTTGCTAACGGCTTTCCATATTTTTTAAGTCCAACTTTGAAATAAGTTCAACTTGGGATCTTTGTGAAATACCCTCTTGAATTGTAAATTAACCTGTGCCTGTACGAAGGCTTTCCTGTATCATTTTATTTGTTTTGTTAAAGGATGCGTCAGATAATTAAAAAAATGCCCATAAGTTTTGATGATTTCTTTTTCGAATACACATTTCAGAAAAATCTTCAATATCTTAATTTGCCGACCAACAACAAATAATAAATCGGGGGGGGGGGGGGGTGCAACCGCAAACCTTTCTTCTATCATGTCCAGCGACGCCTTCGTAACTGTAGAGATTCAAAATTCAAAGTTACGTGCAGGGAGGTACAAGCTGCAATTACACCTCCCTCGTACAAGTTATTACCGTATTGGTATTGAAGAATTTCGTTCGAAAATCTAATAATACACTCGAACACCCCTGCTATAGCCCGGTCACGTTTTGCTTTCCTTATTCGATTTTATGAATTTGAGCCTTTAGTTTATGTCGAGTACCAATGATGCAATTACATTTTGAAGATTTTTTTTTTATATTTTTTTTAGAAATTGTTCTGAACCTAGACGTAATCCTCCCCCCCCCCCCGCCCTCCTCCTTCGAAGTGTGAATTTACCAATATTGGGGTAATCCTCATCTCACGGCTAACCGTTTTGTATTTTGATCATAACTTACTTTTTGTTATACAATGACACGGTGTTAAACTTTTTTATTCGCTCACTCGCTTTGCGCGCTCGCATAAAAAAGAAATTTGGTTGATAATCAGGTGAAATTAATCAGCCCCCCCCCCCTCTGAAAAAAATAGTACACGTATGCTACGGATTGTAAATGGTTGATTTTTAGTAGGCTTATTAAACGGCTTTTTAATGTAAAATCTACTTCGAAATACTGGACCCATAGAAATTATGAATACAAATTATAGAAACTTACTGAACATTACCATAGACCACGTACAGTGCCACAAATTGATGCAGGAAAATATCAATAAACAGTTTGTGAGTAGCTTAGTAATTATTGCTCTTAAATATTAATTTCCATATGAAGAGAAAGGATTTGCATTGAGCTTTTCTACCGTTTGGCAGCGCTTTATTCGTTTAGCTTTACAAGGACTGAGTATTATATAAAGTTGAGTTATACTTTTGCTGATATGTCGTTTTATTCTCACTTTTAACAGTCTTATTCATAACAAGATTTTGTTAAAGTACATATCCTTCTTTGGTTGGTTTACTGAATTCAAGGGAATTAATTTCGCATAAAAATCATCCAACCACATCGGGATTTGGAAAGTTGTATAAACACCTGCCTGTTGCTACAGTTTGTAAATCCAATTTTCAAGCTCAGGCATATTTTCCGAAGCTGTCGTAACATAATTATCAATTGAATTCCTATTTGATCAATAAACGTTTGCGTGACCTCTTGCGCAGGGTATTTAATTAATTGACCGCTGTAGCAAATTGGCTAATGCTCTTGGTCACCAGTTAATTGAACCACTTAAATCATAGATCTGAGAGAGAGAAAGGAACGACTTTTTGTTACTATTGTTTCCATGAACTTGACCGTAAAGTCCTAATAAGTTACGACCCGAGGTAATAAAATGTGACGCCCTTTGCTTTGAGGGGTGCAAGTTGGGGTTATTTTCGGAGCCAATTTGGCTCGATTTATCGGTAGGAAGGCCAGGTGCAGCTGCCAATCCCTCGTTTGATGGGAATTATTGAGGTTCTAAATGTATTAATACATTCTACCTTGATTTTCTGCCAAGGATGTGAGGCAAAGTGCATATTATTTTGAATTTATATAAACGAAATCTTTCCTTCATGTGATGCGATTATAATTCGTAAGGAAACGGGAAATATTTGGATATTTCATTAAATAATATTCTTGAAACATCAAATATGAATAAGATATGTAAACTTTTGACAATTGCTCATTTTAATTCAAATGATAATAATGAGGAGTGTGCATATTGAACAGTGCACTCCTTCTGTTGAATCAGTGATGTATCGCCTAAGACCCGTTACAAACGAAGAGTAGTTTTACTGACGCAAGACAACATTATCAAGTGGGACTGTTTTAAGTTGCCTTTTAAAAATGATATCGTACAAAGGATGAATGCAAAGTGAATAGTGCTTACACTACCTTGAATCACCATTATTAGCGGAGGCTAATAACGCATTCGAAATGACGCCTCGATCAAGGCTATCCAAGCAGCATTGACTGCTGATGAAGATTCCTTGGGTAAAAACATTATTCTCGCATTATACCCATCACCCATCACGAGCAACGCAATCAAAATGTCGCCTTGGTTGCTTTCACAGATTTGAGTAGCGCAAGTATTAACGCATTGAATGACGCCTCGTGTACAACGGGCAATATGCGTCTCAGAAACGTCTTCACATTTCGCTCCACTACCACGGTCTTGGATTTTTTTTGCAAAGGAACTAGGTCAGGTCAATCCTAAATTTATATCCATCCCTGAGGAATGTTGACATCATGGGAAAGCCCATTCTTCTCTTTTTCTTGAACCGTGGTCATATGATAATTATTTTGATTACAATCTGTTCCCATCTGAAATAAAATCGGATCGTTAATATTGGACCCTCAAAGTTCAAAGTTTAGATTGTTGCGACGTCGACGAGATGGAATTGAACATGTTCTTGATGAAAAGTTAACGAAACGTTCACTCCCCATTAACTCCACATATGAAACTGGTCTCATTGCGATGGCATTTGACAGGGGGCACATGTACTCTAGATTTATTTGATATAATTATATCTCAAATTCGTAAAGGAAGGGAAGGGCATACGGCACGCATCTAGTGACCGGGTCTAAAAAAAAATATAGAAGGAGAATAGGGACCCTGTGAACCACCCATCCACTCGCCAGTGTAAATTACGCCTCGTTTGCAACGAGCATACGCAAACGTTATTGTGTTTCCTTTTTGTCTTCAAAGCTTCAAAGAAGAGTAACGAAACTCCTTTTTATCTCCACACAGGAAGGAAGTAAATCATCACTGACCGATCTATTGGAGACGATCAAGAACCATGTCCGACCAGCTAGGAACTATGGCAACACCTACTCAAGTCACGGCCACTAGTGACCCTTTCCAGGGACCTGACATCGTCGTCATCATCGTCCTGTCTCTGATCGCTCTGTGCGGTGCCTTCGGCAATGCCCTCGTCGTCGTCGCCGTCTACAAAACGCGTGTTCTCCACACCGTCACCAATCACTTCATCGTCAGCCTCGCCTGCGCCGACCTATTCGTCAGTATCTGCATCATGCCTTTCGCCGTGGTCACCCAGAGTTTAAACGGACGTTGGCTCTTTGGTCAGATCTTCTGTTCTATCTGGTCCTCGCTTGACATTCTCTGCTGCACTGCGTCAACGCTTAATCTCTGTGCGGTCAGCGTTGACAGGTACATCGCAATAACGTCGCCACTAAAATATCACGTCGCAATGACGCGCGCCAGAGCTTTGGGAATCATTTGCGTGGTGTGGTTGTTCTCCATGTTTCTGGCGACGACGCAACTCATATGGAAACATTTTATTGGACAGACGGCCGAGTTGATGCCTGGTTTTGAGATCTGTCCGTACGCACTCGACAGGACGTTCCGAATGTACGCTGCGTCATCGTCTTTCTTCATCCCTCTCACGGTCGTGATCATTCTTTACGCGCGTATTTTCCGCGTTGCCTACAAACAAGCGCGTCAAATCAACGCAACGCACGACCAGCTCCAAACGTCGCACCCGTCGCGGGCTCAAATGAGAAGGAACGATTCCGTTGAGAACGGCAACAACAACGCGCCGCCGAACGCTCCATCAAACCACCAACTGCGTAAAGCGTCAAGAATGTCGATAGAGTTTGGAATCGCGTCGCGTGAAGTTTACCCGCACCGTCAATCACGCGAAGTGAAAGCCTTTAAAACTGTCGCCGCTGTGCTCGGCGCTTTTATCATTTGCTGGATACCCTTTAGTGTGACGTTTGTGGTGGAGGCGTACTGTCGCAAGTGCCACCTGCCTGTTTCAATGATGGATACTTTCTTGTGGCTCGGTTACGTCAACAGCGTCGTAAATCCCTTCATATATGCATTCTTTAATCGGACATTCCGCACTTCGTTCATACGAGTCTTGGGTCTGCACAGTCGTACTAGTTGCTGCGGTCACACAATTGACGAAGATGATTACAGGTCAACGATTATGGCATAGACTAAAAGAACACCGTCTTCAACACGTTAAAAGTGCACACACTCAGTTTATATATATTGTTGAAATTATGGAAAAAAGTCCAAATAATTTCCTTAATGTGACGCAAGTATTGTAGATGCATTTAAATGCTGACGCAAAATGTTAAGGCCGTGGAATTAAGTTGTGATTGGGCATAACGGCAATCAATCCCGATCGCAGCAGAGACATTGGAATCTATCTGATAACAGATTACTCCGTCTTCTCTTTCACCTTTTTTCCTATAGGTGATAACTTCGATATAATTATTATGACATCAGTTTTTAAGTTGAACAGAGAATGAAGTATGACTTGTAGAGTGTTTGCCTCCTTTTATATAATGAGAAACAACAATCCAATTGTTTCATATGTCAAGAAATTAACTATCATTGGATCAGTATACACCATACACGTGTTCATTTTTTTCTTCAGGACATATCAAAATCCTATTCATTCAACCCCTCAAATGTTAAGATGCGTGGTATACGCCCATCGCTACAGCATTTAGGTCCCCTACAGCTTTTAGGTAGTAAATCGGCTAATAGGTTTTCGTCTAAAGTTTGTCATGCATTTTTTTTTCGTTCTGGTAATCGAAGCCTTGAAATTTCTTAAGTCTTAAATAATATAAAAAATATAACAAATGTAAATATCATCAAATAAAACACAATGGCGAAGACATTAATAGCAATCAAACTGAGGCACCTTCTATAGTCCTATCAATCACCTTTTTAAATGTGCAAACATTACAATAACTTATCGGGTAACCCGAAAATGAATTCTATTGGATTTACAATACGGTATTGGAATTGCCCCAACGTTGATTTTTTTTTGTTGAAAGTAGATGCGACCATGTTTCATGTAAATAAGCATTGTTATGATGTAAACAATAATGCAAATCTAGTTGCTCAAAGAATAGGCCGTTTTCATAATGTATCCGAATTTAATGCATAGGTGTTTGTGAAGTGCCTCGATACGAGTTATTCAATTCACCTGTTACGAATAACTGTATCTCAGTTGTAAGAATACCGATTGCATACATTAGACAAAACATAATGACCTGCCCTACCTAACAGCACATAATATATGTAATTTGCATTCTGACTATTGGAATACATTTTTTCGTGACAGGTGAATGAAATAATTTGTACGAGGCGGTTCACGAAGACGTATGAATTAAATTGGGTAAAATTTAAAAAAAAATGGCCTATTACGATGTATGATAGCTACCTCGTATATCACTGTCATATCGCACAAACATATGAAAACATTGCATAATGCTTATACAAGGTTGTTCTATATGTACCTGGGGTCATTGTTAAGCAGGGCTGTTATACAGAGACGGGGTATTATCACTTCCAGGGGTCATGCAGGAGAATCGTATCAACATTTTCATCATATCCTCATCTTTGAATCTTGCAGTGTTCAACTACTTATGAACACCTCAATCACACCTTTGGCACTGGCAACAGACCGATGAAATCGATCTGAAAAAATAAAATTAGCCCCGGAATGGAAAAAAACAATTGTCGGTTTAATAGCGATCGGCTTCAGGTCGGTTTTAGGGATTCCGCAAATTAAATAATCCTTGCCAAATATTATTGATATCTACAATTTATCTTGATGAACTTAACGTTTGTCCACTCTCACCCTTCTTTTTCTGTATTTGAGATGAAATACGTTTTTTTAAGATCTCGTTTGTTGTTGTGTACATCTTTGTGTTCTTGCATAATATAAGATTATAAAGGTTCATGCACTGCATTGATGAAGTTGTCTCGTGTTTAGTTATTTGTCTTGCATGGTGGCTCTTTCATAAAACATATATTCGAATTGATCTGATTGTGTGTTCACATAGAACTGGATTACGACAGGCGAGAAAGAAAAAAACTTTTGAAAAGAGAAAATGTAAAGGGGCTATTTCACTGAGCAGCGAATGCTTGCGAACGTTGTGATTTAGGATTTGACATTTAGCGACTTTTAGCGACAATTAGCAACATTTCAGCGAATGTTTGCGAAAGGCAGTTGGCGACTATGAGCCAATCCTTTGCCACTATTTGTGAATGTTTAGGTCCTTTTGCTAACTCCTGGTACTCAGTGGGATAATTTTATATAGGAACTATATGGGTCTTTCGTTCGTTCGTGTCTCCTTAGATCAAGATTAATGTATCTTGATCTTCGGAGTAGTTGCTACAAACGGCCGTGTCAGACACGTTGCCCCCGGGTGCGATATATATGTATATATAATATATTGGATAAGACAGACTAATGGAGCATGGTTGCAACTCCGAGTTTCACGCCTTTCAAGCATTGAGCACTGTACGGAGGAATAGACCAAATCTATGTATATATATATATATATATATATATATATATATATATATGGTAACATGGTCGCTTGTATTGGGGAATCAAAAAGAATTTCAGCGACACTGCCTAGCTTACGACGACTGTTTTGCAAACGCTTACGACTGTTTTGCGAACTGAAAACTGTTACGAACCCTGGCGAAACCCAAATTCGCTACGTTCGCAAAAATTCGCCGCTTAGTGAGATACACCCTTTGCTTATGTATTCATTCAAGACAAATATGCACTTTGATATTAGCTTGGGGTGTTCAGTATTATTAGCTTTGAAATGAATGATAATATCAATGCTAACATCATTCGGAAACAAACGAGATTAAAGAGTTCAAAATACAACCGAGGGTGGTAGATCACGCTTTTGAATGAATAGACCTATATATTATACACCCTTCGACAAGTTGTTTCTAGAAATGTTTGCAAGACTCTCTATTCCTACCTTAGTCACATAGAGAAATCCGTGGTAATCAAACTGTGATAATGGTGATGATGGAGATGTATGAAGATAGGTCTATATTATTTTGTTTTAATTAAGAAAAAGTATTTTTCTCTTAATGATTATAACAAAAATAAATACAATTTGAAGCTGGGATAGCAAAGCTATGTTACGATAAGGAATGTTCTTAGTAGCCTGGTTTTAGATCGAAAACGCCAGTGATTGAGTAAGAGTTGTACTATTTAAAGGCCCACTGCACTACTTGTATCTACTTGCGCCCTCTATATAACAAACAATGCCTAATCGGTGACCATTGGTCCCCCATGATCCTCTTTTTCTTATGTTAACTGAGAGCTGAGTTGATGAGATAACCACCTGTCCAGTGACATTGCAGGGCGGTCTAATCCCTCCTGTAAACTATGGCAGATAAGCTTTAAAGAACAGAGGTCGTGGTAATGTTGAGTAAATGCAAGTTGAATGAGCCAACCTTCCTTTATTATATCAAAACATGTATGACGGAAACAACACAGACCATCATACCTGCTTCCATTGGCACGAATATCCATTTCCTGACAAAGATACATGTGTACACGGTTATGTCCTTGAGCAAGGCATTTTATCTACATTGCTCCTCTCCACTCGGGTGCGTTACCGGTAGGATGCGAATGTTCTTGTAGTTGAATAAGAATGTGCCCGCCCGTTAAAAAAGGCAACTAGCTGGAATACTCCGCAGGAGTGGAGAATGTGCACTATACTTTGCAGAATAGTAATTGAATTCAGTGACCGGGTTTATGGTAATACTGTAATCGCAGAAAAAGAGAGAGAGAGAGAGAGAGAGAGAGAGGGGAGACACAAGGCCCTGTTTCATAAAACTTTTTATCAATACTAAATGTTAAATTTCTATGACAAATTTGCTCTCAGCCAATCAGATGCCACGATTTCAGTAGGTTATAACAGTTATCGTAACTTGTTTTTGATATTAAGTTTCATGAAACAGGACCCAGTCGCAAAAACTTGATCAAAGGGACACTTTTTAATGATACACCCTCGCATAACTAACGGATTAATCACAATTATATTTTTTTCTATTTTTGTTATGCTTGATAAAGACTATAATATTCACACACTTTTACATTGCTTGTTTGATTTTGTTATGCCTCCGCTACAAAGTAGCCGGAGGCATTATGTTTTCTCCTTGTCCGTCCGTCCGTCCGTCCGTACGTCCAGTTCTCGTGATCGCATTATCTCAAGAACCGATCGATGGATTACCTCCAAACTTAAAATTATGTATGTATCTTGCAGAGCCAATGAACTGATTAGATTTTGGGGTCACGAGGTCAAAGGGCGAAAATAGCTCGTGATCGCGTTTTTCCAAGAACCAATTGATGGATTACCACCAAACTTGGGTCATGTATGTATCTTGCAGAGCTGATGAATTGATTAGATTTTGGGGTCATGAGGTCAAAGGTCACATGTCACAGGGCTCATTATGTATGCAAAACAGCTCGTGATCGCGTTATCTCAAGAACCGATTGACGTATTACCGCCAAACTTGGGTCATGTATGTATCTTGCAGAGCTGATGAATTGATTAGATTTTGGGGTCATGAGGTCAAAGTTAAAAGGTCACAAGGCTCTTTATGTATGCAAAAATAGCTTGTGATCGCGTTATCTCAAGAACCAGTTGATGGATTACCGCCAAACTTGGATCATGTATGTATCTTGCAGAGCCAATGAACTGATTAGATTTTGGGGTCCGGAGGTCAATACTGACGGATGGATTACTATCTAACTCGAGACATATTATAATCTTGCAGAGCCAATGAACTGATTAGATTAGGGTCATACATGTATATGAAAAATGTAATCACCATATTCTGATAACCTGTTAATTGAGAACAATTAAACTTGAATTTGAAAATTGTTTCTGTGTTGGTTTGTGAAATCGTTCTACGGCGGAGGCATCATTTTCGACCGCACGCAATCGAAGTTCAATCTAGTTCTCATGGTTTTCTACTGAATAAATATGTACATACATGTACATGACCTGCAAACAAAACGCCGCCTACAATGCATAGTGGGTACAAAGTCATGTTATTCGAACAAGCATGATGCAGCAAAAATTGTATTTTGAAACGGATATCTCCTAAACCTCAGTGCTCACTCTGTTAAAAAGTTCTTAAACAACGAGGCTACAAAGACTGACTTGCCTTTTTCGAAATAAAGTCATGGAAACTGTTAAGAAATCCAGTTTCGATTTCTTCGCAGACTATGCGATTTACGGTCGGGAAGTCCTCATTTTTGCGACAGTTCTTCTCTTCGTCCGCTGGATTCTTCTATCACAATGGTCCTACAGCAGCAAGTCTAAGACGTTAGCCCCTCCCTTACCATACCCACCTGGCCTGCCGTTCTTCGGAAACATGTTCAGCTTCCGAACCGACATGAGAGACATCCTTCGCAAATGGACCAACGATCTTGGAGGTCTTTTCCGGCTTCGTATCGGCCCGTTTGTTGACCTCGTCGTGATCAGCGACGTCGACGCGATACAGGAGGCGTTTGTTGATCAGGCCAACGCGTTCTCGGAGAGAGATATTCCGCCATTGCTCGAGGTCGCCATGGGTACCAAAGGTAATTTTTATTTAACAGGTTTAACGTCTTTCTCTCGCCTTGTCCTTTAGCTGGGCATCCTTTCACCAAGCCGTCGTAAGTACAAGTTTACCGACATCCCATTGAAACAGGTGGTAAACGCCTTTTCACTGGGACGTCTCTGAAGTTGTACTTGGTGATGTTTCGTGAAACGGTACCCAGTAAACCAAGTTATATTAGATATTCGTTTATGCTTAAAGGGACTTGGTAACATTGTTCAGATGAGAGATAGTGGTGCTAAGGTAGTGACTTCAATGCTAGATGTACAATTAAAGATAATCTGAAAATTTGAGTGAAAACGGAGCATTATTAATGGTACAAATTGGAAAAACTGATCTGATCGATTCCTTAATTCTCCCAACTTTATTATTACAATTTAATTACATTTTAGGTGAATGGAAATCTCACAAAGCAATAAAATGGCTTTACATTCCATTCCAGGCATTTAAGTGTTGACAGTTTTTTTATAGCCTGTTTTTATCTCTTTTTTCATGGAAACACGGTTGGATAAATACAAAAATGGTTGGGAGAATTTACTGTTAATCACTGTTAGAGGGTGTCGTACATCGACGCCTTCAAAGAAAACCATAGATATCTTCGTGGTTTTAAAGGTACTATGTCCCATTTGCAGGCCAAAAAAATGAAAAAGTTAAATTCCAACTGCATTTGAAAGATAATACTAATTTAGAACTTCCCTAAATAAGGTGGGGCTTGAAAATGTCTTCAAGTGGGAAAATATTAGTTGTCAAATCGACTTTAGGGCTATACAGCCCAAAAGTAATAGTCTTGATTTTCAGGCAATTGTACCGAATGGTCATACGTTTTATGCTGCGCAAAGTTCAATCAGTTTAATCCTGGCCATCACAAGAAGTGGGTTATTGATGTAGACAAATGCTGATGTACCCTTTACAACTCTTTTCATGTATGTTATTACCAAAGAAGAAAAAAAGCCAGTCAGTCACTCAATAGTGTCTGACAGTGAAGTTTAGCAAGTAAACGGGTTTCCTTGTATAATTTGAATATGAGGACACTGCTAAAGTTTAAATTTCACAGATAGGACATACATGACATATTCTTAATTCCTGCAAAGTTCTACAGCATTTGAGGTTGGCTGCAAAAGGGACATAGTGTCATAGTACCTTTAACAAAGTCAGGATTTTTTGCATGTCAGAGGGTTAGTATAGTAGAAGGAATATAGTAAGTAACATTTTATTTTAAAAATTAAGCAATTTTTTTTCATCAAACTTCAACAATGTTACCAAGTCACTTTAAAGGTGATCAAACAATGAAATATGACTGTTACTTACGAGCCATCACTTCAACTGCGTGATTATCTGCGCTAATGCTTTGGAGCCACTGAAGGAAATTATTCCACACGTTATGTATGCAATATACCAAGGTTCATTATGCACTATCGATTGTTATATACCTCATTTTAAGATTCTTTACTAATCCTGTCTTCTGATTGGTTGAAAATGCAGTCATGTTCTGAACCATGCCCGCTAATTGAAATTCATAGTCATTTTTCCCGGCTCTACCGGTTTATATCCATTTTTCATAGCACTTTTTCCATGGCTGTGAAACGTGACGTCATTTTGCTGCGATCCCCATTTTGGTTTACGTGTTACCGTATAAGTTTCTTTTGTGCGATGACCGATGCGCAATACCGTTAACGGTGTTTAAGTGCAATTCGATTTTGGTCGCTGCATTCAGGCGACGAATCTACCAATACACGCAGCGCAGACGACCGATCGCCATTTTGTGTACTGTTGGATTTCATACTGTACACAAGTTATTGTTGGTGTTAATATTCATGACTTCAAAGAGATGGAAACCTAAATGGGTGAGTCAACATTTTCCTTTTTTTCGGTATATAAAATATATATTGACTGCTTTTAATATTCGAGGCATAGTTGTTTCTATAGGGTCTCGGGAAACCCACAACCTGCTATGACCCCGCGGCGCAAGCGCCTTGGGGTCATAGCAGGTTGTGAGTTTCCCTTGACCCTATAGAAACCACTATGCCTCTCAAAGCAGTCAATATATCCTTACTATCACTTTTTTATGTTGCTACTCTCTCGTGGCGCGTCACACCCAGTCTCTGATGACGCTCGCCGCCCGAAGTAAGGCAAATGACGCCTTGTGTTTAACCCCGATGTTTAACCTGCTCAATAGATGTCAGATCTGGCCCTGGGGTTTTTCTCTAATCATTTCTCGTCTTTCATGTCCTCCAAAGGCAGCATATTCTGGGAGCCTGGTCACAAATGGAAGCAACTGCGGCGATTCGGACACAGAGCCTTGAGACATTTCGGACTTAATCAAGGAAGCATGGAGGACAGCATTATAGAAGAAGGGCGACTTATGGCAGAGGCGTTCGAGATGAAGGAGGGAACACAATTCAATCCGAAAGTGCTTGTTACAAACACAGTCGGTAACGTCATTACAAGGTATTTATTCCAATGGTACACTGGCAGATTAAAGGAGGCACAACCGGTCGTGCCCCCCCCCCCCTTAAACTCAAGTGGCATACAGTATTTATATACAAAAGGTATCTAACAATGTGATAACCATGCATTTGTATGTGCCTGTCATAAAATATACGAAATTATGATAGTGCATTGTATGTCGACTTTAAGTAAACCTTGGTATTGTATTCCTCTCATTTGTTTCTTGGCCTTAGATCATTACTTTTCTCTTCCCCCTTGTGTTTAGCATAAACATCATTACGGTCGTTAAGGAGTTAATAATGAAATACATTTCCCCCAAGAAATATTCTTTGTGATCTCCCACAAACAAAACTGTGTTCTCTCTCTCTCTCTCTCTCACTTTTGTTCTTCTCTTCTCTTCTTGTTTCTTACAGATTTGTGTTTGGATTTCGTTTTGAGTACGGCGATCCAGTCTTTGAAAAACTCGCCGAAGATTTCGAGCATTTCTTCGAAAGCTTTTCCGTGACGTCACTGGGGAGTGTCTTCCCGTTCCTCTACTACACTCCACTGTACACTAACTTTCGACGCCCCATTCAAAATGTCGTGTCGTACATCAAGTCCGTGGTCAATGACCACAGACGGAGCTTTGATCCCCTCCATCTCCGGGACGTCATCGACCTCCACATGGCGGAGGTCAAAGGGCAACGTGATGAGAACAAGATGGCTGCCATGGAAGAGGGTTGGGAGTGGAAGTTTATCTTTGAGCTCTACTCTGCTGGCCTAGCAACAACCACTGATACCCTGCGATGGGCAATACTCATAGCGGCACAACATCCACAGCTCGTGCACGAGGTGAGAATCAGAATATGGGTTATGGTGAATAACTAGGAATATTATATACAGTGAATCTTATCTTAATGGCCATCTCTATTATAAAGGCCATCTGTCTATAGCGGTCACCTATATTGCCTCCCACGAAGATAAAACCAGTCTATACACACAGAGAAAAAGAGGTTTAAATTTACTCCCTATAGGGAGTAAATGCTTGTCGCATAAGTGACACCCCTCAGGGAGTAAATTTACTCCCCAATGTAGGGAGTAAAATTACACCCCACAAGAAGGTGTAAATTTGTACCCCAAGGTTATGATCTTACTCCTTTTAAGGAGTGAAATTTGCACCCAATGGTGCTTAATTAACACCTTTTGATTCCATTTTCATGAAAAATGGGTTCAAATTTACACCCGTCGGGTTGAATGTTATACCCTATATGATCGATTCCACACCCTGTGAGGAGTAAATTTACACCCTTCTTATGCACAGCATCAACCAATTGATCATCCCTCGAGCAATCAATCATCCATGCTCCGTAATATTACCTAACAGTCAATGATTTAATCCTTTTGACTACGTTTCAATGCTCTAAAGAAATCAGAACAGAATCTCGAGTTATATGTCGTATAGCTTTAATGCTTACCTAAACAACAGTTAGTGCAAACTCAACACAAGTGCAGACTGTACGAACCAACTTAAAGTTAGCCTCGGTGAGGCTGGTCGGATGGACGTATCGGATCAAATGTAGTGGAAATACCTATGTACACAATCCTAACTTTTCTTGTTTGGGGCATCGAGCTTGGCTAACCCGGTTCGAGCGCGGGGCTCAATAAGGCGAATACTGCTTTGTTGGGCAAGCACAAAACTTAAGAATATTATTATACGCCATGTGTTGACCAAGTGAAACCAAGTTGGCAAACTCAGTGCAAAGATGGCTCTGGCAGTGAACCACAACCATCATCATATCATAGTATGATAGTAACCCACAAGTTATGGCATTCCGATTATTTACTTGTATAATTTTATGATTAAACTTAAACGGTCTCCTTAGATTGTTTGTTATCGGCATATAACGGTGCCGATGGACCTAACATTGGGCCACATTAAAACCAAACCTAAGTGCACAGATATGTTATCCATCCTTTGTGCAGAATACCAAAAGACACCTTCCATAATTATGTCAGTGGACTAGTTAAGCAATGATGAACATCGGCCGCTTTCAAAAATACGGGTCCATGTATATTTTATTTTCTAACTCAATGTGGTAATGGTAATAGGTCCAAAAGGAGATTGATGACGTCATAGGAGGGCGGTCACCAAAGTTTTCGGACCAGAGTTTGATGCCCCTCACTGGAGCGACGATGTTAGAAATCACACGAATTCGCCCGGTGGTCCCTTTGGGAGTTCCCCGCTGCACATCCAGGGACGCTGTTGTACAGGGGTACCATATTCCAAAGAATACGAGTAAGTACAGCTTATAGCTCGTGCGCATGAAGCGTCAGTAAGGACTTTTAGATTTGCACGTCGACATAGTGGGCTGCTACGTGTGACGTCCTTTTAAGGCACTGTGCATCCTTATAAGGCATTACCGGTGCCTTAAAAGGATGTCACACGTAGCAGTCCACTATGTCAACGTGCAAATCTAAAAGTCCCTAATATGCCCGACGTAGGACGGCGTCAGGGACAGTCTTTGACGCACCATGCGATGGTGGTTTCGTACAAGAAACGATTGCAAAATGAACAGTGCACCTGTTGCTGTTATTAAAGGCCTATGATGATTGGCTTCACAGGGTTGATTAGCGCAAGAAAAAACTCAATTGAAATGACGCCTTGTGTGCACTGGGCATAAGAATTGCAATCAGTAGTTGACGTCACAGTTCTTCCAAAGTGCTCATTTCCACCGGGGGAAAAAAAAACCCGTCCTCTTCTGCATTCTTTTTCCTGTGCTGTGGTTGATTCACGAATTAGGTATCATGTAGGCTGTCTTACCGTACGGCGTTCGTAGCAGTTCGTAACGACATTTGTGACCAAGGCTTTAGTCACACGTACTACCAAACCAACCTCAGACGGACTCCAAAGCGACCAAGGCATTGTAACGGTCTTATCGGACTGTTGTCAGTCTAGTGTCGTTTTCGTTGGAGTGAATGAGGTATCACGAAGGCTGTCTTACCGAGAAATAAATGTAGCCTAATATGTTTACCCAAAATGTCTACAAGAAAAGAAATTACCTGTGTTTATACGGAATGTACACGAGATATACAATTTTGTTCGTGAATAAAGCGTAAAGAAAATCATCGTGTAAGATGTTCTTGAATGGTTACTAAGAAAACATCGTTAAGACACGTCAAGAGATTTAGTCATTATTGTATCAGTTTTCCGCACGTTCATCAATTTTGACGTTTATCCTTTTTTCGCCAGCTGTTTTGATGAACTTGTGGGAGCTGCAAACCAGTCCAAAGTACTGGAAGGAGCCTGAGAAATTCAACCCATATCGGTTCTTGAGTGAGGATCGTAAGACGATCGTGAGTCACCGCGCTCTCAACCCATTCGGGATAGGTGAGAAGTAAATAAAATTTTGCACAATATTTGGCGATTATTAAAGACAAGGAACGCCCCGAAAAGGCGTATTGATTACTTTTTTCGAGGGGCATGCAGGAGTGCACAGGGGAACTCAATTCAGGGTATATGTACAGCGTTACCTAGTATTCTATTTATTTATTTATTTTTTCCTCTTTTAGAAAGGTAAGTGGGGCAGTGGTCATTAAATCTTTCTCACTTTATAGTTGGTAAATTAAAGTAAGTACAGATTTATTATGTGCTTAATATTTCGGTTATCAGGGCTTTTCGAACCTCTCAAATAAATTTTCTTCGAGATATTTGGATATAATTATTTTCAATGAAAAAAGTAATCTATACAATCAGCCATATACTGCAAATACCGCAATCACATCGCCGAGACCAACGCAATACTAAAAATACACCCCCCCCCCAAAAAAAAGGGGGTATTAATCTTGTTGCCAAAACCTGAACCGCTAACAAAATGAAGAGGTGTCGTGGTTTAGTAGATCATTCACTCGACTCTTAATCCAAGGGTTGAGGTGCGAATCCCAGTCCAGTACTATAATTATTTCCTTTGGCAAGACATGTATCCACCTTTGGCACTCTCCACCCGATATGATGCGAATGTTATTGTAGTCTCTCATTTTAGTGAGCGTCTGTAAAATGGCGCCTGGCTAGAATGCTTCGCAGGAGTTGAGAATGTGCATACATTGTGTGCGGGCAAGCCTGAATCCGATGACCAGGGTAATAATATTTATGTAAAGCGTTTAGAGACATTGTCGATGTTTTAAGCGCTATATGACCCCAAATTTGTTTTTTTGCTAGATCAGGGACGCGTTTCACGAAGCCTTTTTTCAATGACAATTGACAAAAAATCTGTGAAAAATCTGTCGATAACCAATCAGAAGCAAGGATTCCAGTAGCTAATAACAGAAACTGTCATTCGTCACTGATGACAAGTTTTGTGAAATGCCCCCAGTTCTATTCATTGTTTATTTGTTTTGTCATTCTCACCATCAAGGTCTCCGTGTGTGTCTTGGTGAAAAGCTGGCCAGGATGCAGCTCTTCATCATCCTCACAAGTCTACTCCAGAGATTCACACTTCGTCTAGCAGACGATAGTCTTTCTGTCGGTATGGAGGGCAAGGCTGGAATCGCTTACGGTCCACTGGACTACAACATTGTTTTGGAAAAGCGTCACGTGTGAAAAGGACAAGCAGTTCCGTTAAACAGAAAGTAGTCTCTTTAACCTGTTGCGGGCGAGGTGTCACTTACAAGTATGGCCAATAATTACTCACTGGAAAGAAGGAAGCATGCATTTGACAATCGTATAAGTTTAAGGTCAACTGAGTATCGTACAGTCAAAAAATTAACACAAATAGAGACACCTCTCAGGATCTGGGATATAAGAGGGCGTCCCCAGAAATCTAGCAATGTTTTGATGACGTCACATCACGGACCACTCCCCAAAAAATGAAAAGTTAAATTCCAATGGCATTTGAAAGATAATACTAATTAAGAACTCCCCTTAAAAAAATGGGGCTTGAAAATGTCTTAAGGAGGGAAAATAACGACTATTAGTTGTCAAATCGACTTTAGGGCTATAGAGCCCAAAAGTAATAAGTCTTGATTTTCAGGCAATTGTACCGAATGGTCATACGTTTTATGCTGCACAACTTTTTTCATTCAGTTTAATTTTGGCCATTACAAGAAGTGGGGTATCGATGTAGACAAATCCTTTACAGCTCATTTTATGTCTGTTATTACCAAAGAAGAAGAAAAAAACAGTCAGTCACTCAATACTGACAATAGTGTCTGACAGTGAAGTCTAGCAAGTAAACGGGTTTCCTTGCATAATTTGAATATTAGGACACTGCTAACGTTTAAATTTCACAGATAGGACAAACATGACATATTCATAATTCCTGCAAAGTTCTACAGAATTTGAGGCTGGCTGCAAAAGGGACATAGTATCTTTAAAGCAGGCGACGTCTTAAACTAATGTACGTACGTTCAGCGCATTTATTTCTTAACAATTTTCTAATAGATTGGGGAGGGGAACGGGGAGGGGAAGGGGGGATTCCGCAAATCAAATAATACTTGCCTAATGTTATTAACATTTAAAATATATCTTGATAAATCTAACGTTTTTCCACTCACACTCTTCTTTTTCTGTATTTGAGATGAAATACTTTTTTTTATAGCTCTCGTTTGTTGTTGTGTACATCTTTGTGTTCTTGCATAATATAAGATTATAAAGGTTCATGCACTGCATTGATGAAGTTGTTTGTGTTAATAGTTGTTTGTCTTGCATGGTGTCACAGTCATAAAAATATAATTTATTCGAATTGATCTGATTGTGTATTGACATAGAACTGGATTACGACGGGCGAGAAAGAAAAAGCTTTTCAAAATAGAAAATCTAAAGGGGCTATTTCACTGAGCGGCGAATCCTTACGAACGCTGCGATTTAGGATTCGACATTTACCGACTTTTAGCGACAATTAGCAACATTTCAGCGATAGTTTGCGAAAGTGTTTGCGAAAGGCAGTTGGCGACTATGAGCCAATCCTTTACCACTATTTGTGAATGTTTAGGTCCTTTTGCTAACTCCTGGTACTCAGTGGGTCAATTTTATATAGGAACTAAATGGGTCGTTCGTTCGTTCGTGTCTCCTTAGATCAAGATTAATGTATCTTGATCTTCGGAGTAGTTGCTACAAACGGCCGTGTTAGACACGTTGCCCCCGGGTGCAATATATTGTAACGTGGTCGCTTGTATTGGCGAATCGAAAATAACTTCAGCGACACCGTCGTACAACCGTTTGCAAAGCTTACGACTGTTTTGCGAACTGAAAACTGTTTACGAACCCTGGCGAAACCCAAATTCGCTACGTTCGCAAGCAGGGGCGGCGATCCCGGGGGACGGGGGACACGTCCCCCCCCCCCCTCAATTTTTTTTAGCGGGGATCGTCCCCCCCCCCCTCAAAATTTGAAAAAGCGCCAACAAAAATGTATAGCAAATACTGATTAAAGACTACAACACACTTTCATGCTCTGGAGGGCCCAAGAGTGTGCGTATAGACAAATAAAAATGCTAAAATCTTCTCACTCGGTCGCTACGCTCTTTCGCATAATATCCTTCAAAATGTACAAGTAAATACCGAGAAAATTGAAGTGTGAACAAAGTATTTTGCTTGTTTTTATACTATACTGTAGTCTTGCTAAGGAACCTGTGAGGAGGTAATATACTTCCGTCACCTTTACCCCTCTCATTCACTATGCTCCCTCGCACTTGCGTACTGGTGGGGGGGGGGGGGGCTTTGGGGGCAGTTCCCCCCAAATAAAATTCAAACGTGGTTTATTTCTAATTCGATACTAGTGATTTACAAATGTTGTTTGAATGGCATGATTTTTACCTGAGTTTTCGGGGGCTCTGCCCCCTGGACCCTACCAAGATGGTTGCTCATTGTTACTCATCTGACCGTAATTAAATGCCTAAAACGCCTGAGTTTCCAGGGGCTCTGCTCCAGGGGCTCTGCCCCTGGACCCCACCAAGGGCCCTAAGGCGGCCCCTGGATGCTCATCTGATCGTAATTTAATGCCTAAAACCCCTGAGCTTCTGGGGGCTCAGCGCCCTGGACCCCACTCCAATAAGTGACTTGCATGCCAGTGTCACAAATAAGTTATCAAAATATGCTCATCTGACCTTAACAAATGCCTGAAACCCCTGAGCTTCATTAAGTTCCGCCCCTTGACACCCGCCGGGGCTTTGACAGTGGACCCCACGTCAATTTACGCTCCGCTTTGCTTTGCTTTGCTCTACCTGATCGTAAATACTTTAGCCCCCTCACACTTTGAAAAAAACTTTCCCAGGGCCTGCGTAACATGTAGGAGTGGTGGTGATGCGCATTTTGTTCTGCCCCCCCCCCCCAAAAAAAAGAAGTTTTTTGCTCATTACGCCACTGCTCCCTCGTCCCTCGCATTTCGTCCCCACCCCCCCCCCCCCGGTCATGAAAAAAAAATCGCCGCCCCTGTTCGCAAGCATTCACCGCTCAGTAAGATACACCCTTTGCTTATGTATTCATTCAATACAAATATGCACTTTGATATTAGCTCGGGGTGTTCAGTATTATTAGCTTTGAAATGAATGATAATATCAATGCTAACATCATTCGGAAACAACCGAGTTTAAAGAGTTCAAAATACAACATACTGGTGGTAGATCACGCTTTTGAATGAATTAATATACACTCTTCTACAAGATGTTTCTAGAAATGTTTGCAAGACTCTCTATTCCTACCTTAGTCACATAGAGAAACCCGTGGTAATCAAACTGTGATAATGTAGACGACGGAGATGATTGTGGTGTTTCTATCTCAAATGAAGATTTTATGTTTGTTTGAATTAAGAAAATGTAGTTTCTTCTAATGATTATAACAAAAATAAATACAACTTGAAGCTGGGATAATAAAGTTACGTTATGATAAGGTATGTTCTTAGTAGCATAGTTTTAGATCGAAATCGACAGTGATTGTGTAAGAGTTGTATTTAAAGAACAGAAGTCGTGGTAATGTTGACTAAATGCGAGTTTGATGAGCTAACCTTCCTTTATTATATCAATACATGTTTTGATATATATATATAACCTTCCTTTATTATATCAAAACATGTATTACAGAAACAACACAGACTATATCATACCAGCTTCATTTGGCACGAATATCCATTTCCAGACAAAGATACATGTGTACATGGTTATGTCCTTGAGCAAGGCATTTTATCTACATTGCTCGTCTCCACCCAGGTGCGTACCCGGTAGGATGCGAGTGTCCTTGTGGTTGAATTAGAATGTGCCCGCCCGTTAAAAAAGGCGACTAGCTGGAATACTCCGCAGGAGTGGAGAATGTGCACTATACTTTGCAGAATAGTAATTGAATTCAGTGACCGGGTTTATGGTAATACTGTAATCGCAGAAAAAGAGAGAGAGAGAGAGAGAGAGAGGGGAGACACAAGGCCCTGTTTCATAAAACTTTTTATCAATACTAAATGTTAAATTTCTATGACAAATTTGCTCTCAGCCAATCAGATGCCACGATTTCAGTAGGTTATAACAGTTATCGTACTTGTTTTTGATATTAAGTTTCATGAAACAGGACCCAGTCGCAAAAACTTGATCAAAGGGACACTTTTTATTGATACACCCTCGCATAACTAACGGATTAATCACAATTACATTTTTTTCTATTTTTGTTATGCTTGATAAAGACTATAATATTCATACACTTTTACATTGCTTGTTTGATTTTGTTATGCCTCCGCTACAAAGTAGCCGGAGGCATTATGTTTTCTGGTTGTCCGTCCGTTCGTCCGTCCGTCCGTACGTACGTCCCGTTCTCGTGATCGCATTATCTCAGAAAACAGATCGGTGGATAACCTCCAAACTTAAGACGTGTATGTATCTTTCAGAGCCAATGAACTGATTAGATTTTGGGGTCACGAGGTCAAAGGTCAACATTCACAGGGCGAAAATAGCTCTTGATCGCGTTTTCTCAAGAACCAATCGATGGATTACCACCAAACTTGGGTCATGTATGTATCTTGCAGAGCTGATGAATTGATTAAATTTTGGGGTCACGAGGTCAAAGGTCAAAGGTCAGAGGGCTCATTATGTATGCAAAAATAGCTTGTGATCGCGTTATCTCAAGAACCGGTTGATGGATTACCGCCAAACTTGGATCATATATGTATCTTGCAGAGCCAATGAACTGATTAGATTTTGGGGTCCGGAGGTCAATACTGACGGATGGATTACTATCAAACTCGAGACATATTGTTATCTTGCAGAGCCAATGAACTGCTTAGATTAGGGTCATGAGGTCAAAGGGTTATACATGTATATGAAAGAAAGCTTGTAATCACCATATGCTGATAACCTGTTATTGAGTACAATTAAACTTGAATTTGAAAATTGCTTCTATGTTGGGTTTGTAAAATCGCTCTATGGCGGAGGCATCATTTTCGACCGCACGCAATCGAAGTTCAATCTAGTTCTCATGGTTTTCTACTGAATAAATATGTACATACATGTACATGACCTGCAAACAAAACGCCGCCTACAATGCATAGTGGGTACAAAGTCATGTTATTCGAACAAGCATGATGCAGCAAAAATTGTATTTTGAAACGGATATCTCCTAAACCTTAGTGCTCACTCTGTTCAAAAGTTCTTAAACAACGAGGCTACAAAAACTGATTTGCCTTTTTCGAAATTAAGTCATGGAAACTGTTAAGAAATCCAGTCTCGATTTCTTCGCAGACTATGCGATTTACGGTCGGGAAGTCCTCATTTTTGCGACAGTTCTTCTCTTCGTCCGCTGGATTCTTCTACAATGGTCCTACAACAAAAACTCAAAACCATCAGCCCCTCCCTTACCATACCCACCTGGCCTGCCTTTCTTCGGAAACATGTTCAGCTTCCGAACCG